AGGTAGATAAAAAAATAAATTGTAAATTTATACTAAATAAATAAATATTTAAATAAGATAGATAGATAGATAGATAGATAGATAGATAAGGCCGAGATACAACAAATGCTAAATTTATACTAAATAAATAAATATTAAACAAGGTAGATAGATCAAAAATAAATTGTAAATTTATATTAAATAAATAAATATTTAAATAAGATAGATAGATAGATAGATAGATAGATAGATAGATTATATTGTTTATATATTGGAAATTTTTTGGGAGAGTTTAGGAATAGTTTTTTTTAGACAGATAGATGGATAAAAATAAACTATACATGTATATTAAAACTAATTGAATGAATGAATAAATAAATAAATAAATAAAGCCACACAGACTAATAAAGTGTAGTTTAACAACATTATGGTATTGCCAAATACAGTATCTGTGGCTTGTGTTCGTTCAGCCATGCATGAAAACGCAGTTAAGTATGATGCATTCTGAGGAGCAGTGCTTTTGTGTCGGGCTATTTGCTGGCCATAGTGAGGTCATCAAGAGCGGGTAAGCAGGCTTTGTAAAGGCCCTGCACAGGTGTGGCAGCAGCCCTCGCTGAAGGAGTGCAGTGAAGCACGAACAATCATCTAAATGTCTGTGAGATGAAATGGCTAGTTAACAATCTTTTGACTGCCCCAACCTCCGAGCTTTTGTCGGGTATCGATCGACCAGCTGCCACTGGGTTATTGTCAGCCTGGATGGGAGCCCCTTTGGCTGGGAGGGATGGGTAGCAGTTTATGTGTGTGTGTGTGTGTGTGTGTATGTTTGTGTGTTGGATAGAGGGGTGTTGCTTCTTTCTAAAAGGCTTTCTTATCCTTTAAGTTATAGGTTAGTCTAGTTAATTAGGTAAGATTCATTATTTGAAAGATTGAGGCACAAAAAGGGAAAAAAAATGCTTTCCAGTCTATGATGGTTTGCAAACAGTTAACTGAGCTGATAATGTGTCAGTGAAGGAAAATATTAACCACATACAGTATATGAATAAAATATACACTAAGAATGTCAGCCTGAAAAATCATGCATATTAACATCAAGAATAATTAATTTAATTCAATAATATTGTTCAGTAAGTAAGTAAGAAAGAAAACAAGCAGGCTAAATACAGTATATAAATAAATAATGTTTGCAGTGAGTGAGAACAGGCATGTTTAGGCACGTTTTGTTTTATTTTCCTCTGAATTAGTTAATCTAAAAAAAATCCTGCATAATTACATCTCAATTAAAATCAATGAATTTGATTTAATTCAAGAATATTGTTCATTTAGTAAATAAATAAATAAAGGTTAATATAAAAAAAATCTGTAAACATAGGGCACAATATACTGTATAATTTTTCGGTATTTATTTTTTACAGGTGTTTTACCAGTATTTTGAATTTTACACTTCATTGCATCGTGTTTTAGAGTTAAAGGCACAATATGTAAGATTTTTTAATTAAAATATTCCAAAACCACTAGAACAGTGTTATATATTTTGCTGACTTGTGTACTTTCATTATCCCAAATGTTTCGAAGAATGTTTAAATCCAGAGAAATAAGCAATTTTAACTAGTGACACGGACCGTGTCTATAGTGTCATTGTGTCACCTGCCAATGACGTCATACACCCTCGATTTCCGGTTTTGTTTTGTCGAAAACATGGAAACACTATTTTATCTATCTGATTTAATTTTATTTAATTGTATTATTTTATTTTATTTTATTTTATTTTATCTTATTTTATTTTATTTTAGGAGAAAATGATCGATTGTGTCAGGATTATGGACCTGCTGTGTTGTGTTTTCCCTCCCCATGTGCTTCCCCTGACCTAGTTTCTCCCGTGTTTCATGCCCTTATTTGGTCCTTCCTGTTCCTGTTCGTATTCGTTCCCATATGATTCAGCTGTGTTTCCCCAATTATCTCGTTTGATTCTTAGTATTTAAGCCCTGTGTTTGCCTGTGTTCCCTGTCCGGTATTGTGAATGTCTTCTTGGATGTGATCGTCTCATGCTACGCGTGCTCCTGTCTGCCCTATGTACCCCGTGTTTGCTGGATTAAAGACTGTGTTTATGGTGAATTCTCCTGATCGTGACAGATTGCACCTTTAAAGTAACAATATACACTTTTACAGTGTACAATGATG